CCGCGCCCGCGCCCCCCCCCCCCGCCCCGGGCCCCGCCGATGCGCACTGGGCACTGAGGGGACCCCGGGGACCCCCGCCGCCCTGCAGCGCCCCCGCCTGGCGCGCCAGAGGGTCAGGTGGGGCCAGTCCAGCCGAAAACTGCGGGTCGGGCTCCACCTAGGTGTGCAGAAGCCTCACTGCAGAGCCGGCCGCGGCCGGAGCCTGGAGCTGGGGCTGCTTGGCCTCCAGTCTCGCCCAGCCCCCTTGCACCCCAAGGCTGGGAGAGGCGGGGAACCGGGATGAGACACCTCCAAGGCGAGGGGCTGACCCGCTGCTCCTTGTGCTCAAAGCAAACTGAGCTTGGGAGAAGGTGCCGAGGGCTCTGAAATGGTACATCTGCCTGGAGACACAACACACACACACACACACACACACACACACGTATTGGGGACCAGCCACCAACCAGCTGTCCTACACAGGGAATATCCACGTCCGGATCTTCCGGCCGACCCCTGCCTGCTCTGGGAAGGGCAGGCTTCTCTTCCCAATTTCCTTCCCCACCTCAGCACGCCAGAGCAAGACACTAGTGTCCATCCAGAGGGTGCTCCAGAACCCAGCACCTGGCCGGCTGGTGGCCCCAAGGGCGGGACCTGGATACCCTCCACTTGCACTGTCAAGTGCCAGGCAAAGGTCTGTCCAGAAACAGGGCCAGGCTTCTGCCTGACCTGGGCCCCCTGTGGGGCAGCTGGAACAGCGCCAGCACCTGCAAACCCTCTGGTTCACGCAGAGGTCGTTTCCTCCCTGGGAGGGCACGGACATGCCAGGAGGAGGAAGCAGCCGGGCCTGATGGGCTTGCAGAGGTCAGGTGATCAAGCCCTCACTACACTTCTGGGGAAGCCAAGGCCCACAGGGACCGACAGGGACCAGGCAACTGGTACCGCCAACCAGCAAGCTGAGGGGGCCAGGACCAGCTTCCACGCCTGATCTGCCTGCCTAACCCCAGGACGGTGCCCAGCAGCTGGTCAGAGCTGGCCCAAGGAGCCATTCTTTACCTCTGCTGCAACCCTCCACCCCCTGCCCCGAAGGCAGCTGAGAGGTGCGAGTGGCCGATGCAAGTCCCCCCATCTGGGAAACGTGGCCCCAGCCTCCCACCACCAACAGCAGAACATCACAGGGCCTGCTCTGGGAGGGACTGAGCACTCTACCCTCATGTAGCCCTCAAAACCGAGACTCCCATGAGCAGCGTCACCGCCCCCCGCTGCCCCTCCACCTCTAGACAGTCTGCAGCAAATCCCCACACGGCAGCTGCTGGAAACCTGCCCTGCCTCACCGCTCTCAGGGCCTGACCTCCACCAAGGTCGTCGTCCCTCCGTCCTCACCCATGCAGGGCTCATCACCTCCCAGGCTGGGGTCCCCTGGATGCACACCTCATGTTGAAGCCCTGCCCCACAGGGCCCAGGATGGCCTGTGTCCCCAGGCATGTTATCGGGAATTCTAAATTCACCAGGGGAAGCTTTAAGGACTGACCATCCGGGAGCTCGAAAGAGAACACGAGAAAGGGAGAGAGGTGCGATCTCTAACGCAGCCCACAGGTGTGACAGGAAGAGCACGCCCCCAGGCCCAAGACCCCTGCAGCAAATCTGTGCCACAGGGGCCAGTGCCCTGAAAAGAAGCCACAAGGGAAACGTGGCCAGCTTGTGGCCACTGGGGAGTCCCGTGCCATGCAGACCGAGGAGGCTGTGGTGACCCTATGATCTGCACGAGGCAATCCCAACCAGCCTAGGAGGTGACACCTGGGCCCTCTGGACTGACAAGAGAGTCCTTTTAAAAAGGAATCAAAGCACAGTGGCCATGGGAGCCTAGAGCAATGGGAACAGGCAGGCCGGAGGTACGACGGAGCCCCAGGCTGGCCGGAGGGGCGAGGGGAAGGACCGCAGTGGGGCTCCCGGAGCACACAACATCCTCTGAGGTCACACCGGAGAGGCCAAGGTGGAGGCGGCATGCCGAGAGGCATGGGCAGACACGTAGGAGGGGACACTGGCCAAACAGCTGAATCTGAAAGCGGGGAGCCCCAGCAGCACCCTCTTGGATCCCAACAACCGTCAGACTCTGTGTGGCTTAGCCCAGGGCCAGAAGATGGGGGGTGTCCAAAGTCAGGGATGCTTCTGCCTGGGAAAGGCCCCCAACTACCTGAGGTATGGGATCTGGGATAGAGAAATTCTCGTTTTATTCAAAGTGTCTAACGGAAATTTAGCAATGCCTTCACTTAGGCCTGTAGGCAGGAGGATGATGCCAGGGCCAGACACCATCAAAACACATCTCGGGCTGGCCCCATGGCACGGTGGGAGTATGCTACTGATGGGTAGCCAGACCCCACGGGCGGTCACAGTGCAGCCCCTGGCCAGTCACTCAGAGTATCTGGGCACACGAACAAGTGCCCAGGAGCCAAGAGGCTGGAAGGAAGGGGACGGCTGTATGACCAGACCCCGTGGACTGTGCTCCTCTCTCTCCCACCCCTGCTCGCTCTCGTGTGTGTGTGCATGTGCTGTATCATCCATTCACAGGAAAAGTCTGCCACCTTTTAATAATAATTGAAAAACCTCTTTCTCTCTCTTCTTTGCTCCCTGGCTCTTTTTCTCTCATAAAAAAAATGAGTATTTTAACATTTAATAACTGCATGTAATCATAACTACATGCTGTAATAACAATTATAATTGTTTCTTTCTAGTTAGGTATTTTGGTTTTATTCTGAGGTGGCTTCCACAGGCTTCACCAGATTGCCAGAGAGGTCCATGGCAAAGAAAGCACAGCCCTAGTGAGAAGTTGCAGCCGAGGAGTGAATCAGAGCAGAGTGGCACTGGGGACCTCGGCCATTTCCAGCAAACAGGTCATGCGAGCCCAGAAGCACTGTATCCCCAGGGCCTCCTGCCAGTTCTGGCAAAGCAGAGGCTGGCTTGCCTGCTCTCTCTATGCCCGCTTCCAGGGAGACCCATCTGCCCACATGCCCGCCCATTTCCAAGAATTCAGCCAGCCCTCTTGGTCAAGTGAGAAGCCAACTGGCCATGGCAGAAGTAATCCACACACCTCGACCACTATCCCACACATAAGGGCCTGCTGCTGGACCACCAACTGTCTCTAAGAAGCCTGGCAGGAAGGAGAGGAGAGGCTCACGAGGTTTTTACTGCACACCTGGTCCGTAGGGGACAGGCATGATTCAGGGAAAAGTAAAATCATCATACTCATAACAATCCTAAATGGCATCATTCTCAAAAAAAGTGGAAAGAGCATGGTCTCAATAAAAGAATATCAGGCTCCTGTTTTGCAAAAATAGGGTGCGGAGGGACAGAGAATAAAAAAAGAATTCTTAAATATTCATGTGACCAACCGATTTTAAGTTATAGAAGATGCACTGAATAGGACAACGGGCATGACTGAAGACCAGTTGTGGAAAGTACCGTCAAGGAAGTCTCCCAGAGAAGCAAGCACGTGGGAAAAGAGGAGAAAAGGCAGAGAAGCACTGGGGTGTGGAGGGCAGATCCTGGAGCTCATTTTCATTTCCTAGAGATTCTAAAGGTAACAAAGAGGAGGAAATAATCAACTACATGAATGCCTATCTTCAGACTGCATTCTGAACAGGTCTAATGGGCAGGCCTAGAAACTTGTAAAAACTTGCAGGATAAAAAGAACACAAATGACAAATGGTTTTCTATGAAGTCAGAAACAACTGGCACTAGACTTTTCTTTAGCAACGTTGGCTTCTAGAAAGTAGTACAGCAGTGTCTTTGAGTACCGATAGGAAACGATATGGCACCTAGAATTCTACACCCAGCTAAACTAGCAACAAAGTGAACTATTCAAAGGCATTCCAAAGATCCATTGACTATTCACATTCCCTGTTGAGAAAGCCAACGAGGGAGGCACTCCAGCAAAGACAGGCATCTGGAAGTGGGGCATGAGAATGTGAAATAAAACAAAACTTGGCATATCTAACTCTGAAGAAGTCCAATAAGCCGTAGGCAAGTGTGTACCACACAGCAGAATGTTCAATGTTGGAGAGGATACATGTGGATTTACTCTTGGCTTGATTATTGCACACCGTGTGTGCCATGAAAAATCCACTGTAGCCCACAAAGATACACATCCATTTTATGTACACCAAAAATCATTCTTAAAAAATGTTAGAAA